TTTAGGGCGTGGTAATGTGAGCATGCCGATTTCGGGTCATCCCTTATTACATTGGCCAACTTCTTGCCCGTCCCACGAATAAAAACTTCTCTCACAGCCTTGTGGTCTGCTCTTAGATTTTTCAACTTTGTCACAACAATTGCCGATGTTATGCTATTGTGGCCTAAGTCCCGCATTCTCTCTGCTATCCTTTTGTGGACACCAGCCTTCTGACGGTACAATTTATCTTCAACTTTTTCGGCGATTTCTGGCTCCCTCCAGATATCTATTAAATCACATTCCCGCACATACGTCCAGAAATGGCATTTTCTTTACTGACTTTTCGGCCATCATTTGCAAAATAAGACTTGTTGAAATTAAAGTACACAGATCAGGGAGACTGCGTCAATTCTGAATGGTGTTTATGATAGTACTAAAAAATGCACTAATTGTTTACTGGCTTTAGGCTGGATTAAGAAGTTAGTCAACATAAATTTACTCGACGGGCTTAGTCGAGTTGTGGCCTTCATCTCGCCATACTTGAGCGGTCATGCTCAAACTTATGGTGAGATCTTCTAGCTCATCCACTAAAATTATCTCGCCATAGTTGGATATGAACGGGGCTTATGTCAGTAATTGGTTAGTATCTGGGACCCATCTGGAAATTAGGCCTTTAGCAGGGACTTAATAGGCCATCCCAATTGTTATTGCCTTATGTTTGTATTTAATAGGAGATTTTATTTAGCTGGTTTTGTTTGTCTTTGTTACAATGTTATAGATATTAGAATAAATAATATTAAATTAAATCAAAATCCTCCTTCAACATTTCAGAGATTAAACAAGACTTTTTATACCTTTAATAGCGAACTTACTTTCTTGAGGATCATCAGAGTAGGGCAGAATAATAAAAAAAATATAATTAAGGAAGAAATTTTTAGGTCTGTCTTTTGGAAGATTTCAAATTTGCAGTGGGTACAATCAGTAATCAGCGTTAGCTTCAAAAATTTGTTGACAAGGTATCTTACAGGGGATTCCGGACTAACAAACCGACCCTCAGTCCGAGTCCCTCAATACAAAATCACAGGGAAAGTTTTTATGGCTTAGTATGGTCCAAATTGTACTTTTAGCTTTGGCATTTAAAAATAACGTTATTTGGGTAGGCAAGTTATTTCTTATTAATTTTTGATCCAACGACCTCGTCATGGCTTTGGACAACCGGGGGGGGGGGGGAGATCCAGACTTATGAAATATTCAGTTAATTAGAATTATCATAGCTTGAACATGTTCATCAGTCCTCCATGCCTCGATCATCAGGACCTCTTCAGATGGCATTTCTTGAGCAGCTCCTGCTGCCACCGCTGCTCCTGCATGGCTTTGTCAGGTAGTACTGGCATATGGACATCGTTGTGTTCTTCTCGATGTGCATTTGCTGGCACTGTCTGACACCATGCTGTTTCACCATCTTTTGCTTTCATGACACCATCCAACTTGACAGAATGAATGATTACAGTGTAAATGCCACTTTTTAATTCATTTTTGACCACTATGTTATTACTACTACTTAGCTAATTACTATTTTTTGTTTTACAATTACTACTATTGCTACAGTATTGGTAGTGCTGCTTTAGCTGCTGCCTCTTGTACTGCTGCTACTATTATTATTATGATTTTTCTATGACTCTTGTTACTGCTACTATTGCTGATGCTGCTGTCCCTACTACTAATATGCTGCTGATCTTGGTACTACTGCTGTTATTCTTACTACCATTTCTAATGCTACTGTTGTTACTATTTTTTGTACATATTATTCTTACTATTTCTACTGCTAATTTCCTACTACTATTAGACGCTAGAACGGAACTACTCATGCGTGACTGTCCTATCTGGCGTCCTACATTCTCTGCATACGTAGATTTGGCCAAATTGCATTTCAGAATCTACTCAACAAGGTGACCTTAACGTTCTCGCATGCGCACATGACTTTTAGTTGTCGTGCAAACGAAAGCTCCTTATTGTTGCTGTTCCTACTGCTGCAGCTGCTGTTTCCACACTGCAGCTGTTTCAGCTGCTACTGCTGACAGTGGCGTCGAGAGGGGAGTCAGGGGGGTCGTTGCCCCGGGGCCCGGGTCTACTGGGGGCCCGGACCAAGATGAAAAATATGATACTGATCTTAATCTTTGATTGATTTTATATGTACCTCTCACTGCATACAAAGTGGTATGTATACGTGTATTATAATTATTATTATTATTATCGTTTATTCATCAGATTATTCTGATACATCCACATTGCAAAAAAATAATCACATGGAATCA